TTCAAAGGAGGATTTACGGTCACAGACCTTATCTGGCTTGGAGAGCTGCCAGGGTGATATCTGCAGAACTTGGCCAGGAGTCTCAGAGAGTCATGAACCAATGAAGTGAATTAATTGTCTCCTGTAAACTCCACTCCCCTTTCGTTCCTCTTTTATTTCCCTTGGGAGGGGCCATTCACTGTCCACCTGTGGCCTTACTCCCAAGTCGACCCCTTTTCTTTAGCTCTTCCCTTTGTCTGGCAACTCTTCGCACACTGGGAACAGGCTACAGCTGTTCTTCTGCCCCACTGATGTCTGACTCCGAAGGCAGCTGATAACTGTCGGACGGCCCTGGCCCCTTCTCTGCCTCCGACACAGAGCCCTCATCAGAGCCTTCCCCAGACTCCAGGACCGGCCCATCTTCCTCCCCAATCCTCCTCACTGTCCGAATCTGCTGCCAGCTCCGTTGACCGCTGGCGGGCCACAACACAAAGAGGTCAGCAACTGGAAGCCCTTGGATTTAATCCTACCCATTTTATAGATTTCTTTTTTTAAAAAAACCCATGGAACAGAATAATTTTTACGACGGATTTTTAAGACTGGTGATGTCTTCATCTGTCCCCTTTCCCCCCCCCCACCTCCGTAATTCCTCAGGGGTCCCTTTAATTGATATTCCCAAACCGCCCTCCGTTCTAACAGCCTCGGTGTTTACTCTTGTACATAATTCTCCTTTTCTCCCCCCGTTTGTAAACCGTTCAATGACTCCAAACGTATCCCACTCTCTCTGAATGATTTCCCCTTTCTGCTCCGATTCTATGAACCGTCGAGTGAGTTGTGTTGTTATTTTTCCTACGTATTCCTTGAATAAAACAAGCGGAGATTTGCGTCTTTTTCCCACGTAGTACGGCTCTTAATCTCAAATTACCAGCTGGAGCAACGGCTTTTGGTGAAAGTTGCCCAACGAAAGGAGTTGTTTTAGGTGGACGCAGAAATAATATTTTTGGGGTGTTCTGGGACTTTAGGGTGTTTGAGGGTCTCCCAGAATTCTCAGACTGACGAATTCACGAGAGGAAATTGGGGTTGGACTAGAAGACCTCCAAGGTCCCTTCCGACTCTGTATACACCTATAAAGAAAATCGGAACGAAAAGAATTTAGGGCCTCGTTAAAAGTGCTAAAACCATTACCGATAGTAATTTAGTAGATTTTCCAGCCGTTCGTTCAGCGACGATTCAAAGTTACAACAACACAGATAAAACTTTGCAGTTTTTTTTCAACCGAGGATTTCTGAATTCAATGTAGCAAAAACTGATTGTTAGAAGCAGACGGTTCAGATTTACAATACAGTAGCAGAGTTGGAAGGGACCTTCGAGGTCTTCTAGTCCAACCCCAATTTCCTCTCGTGAATTCGTCAGTCTGAGAATTCTGGGAGACCCTCAAA